ACTACGTCTCTCTTTTTCTCTCTGCAGTAAACCAGGATTGGTTGGAAGGGCAGTGTAATGGGAACACTGGTATATTTCCTGCGTCATTTGCAGAAGAAGTTCCTGTGGATGGACAATAACTTTATGCAAATTGATTTTTTGTTTTATTGTGCACAAGGCAGAAAATAAGAAATAATTGTAATCAGTGATTTAAGTCATGTTACATTCAGGTATTCATTAAGTATTACTGAAATATAAAGTGATGCTGGGTGACATTTCAGAAAAATTACAAACATTTAGCTCCTGGTGGTAAAATAGTTTAAATTTATACTGAGTCCATTCAAAAATGAATAAATTGTGGCATCATCAAGACGCTCCTTCGTCTTCATAGGCGATAGCTATGCCTCTCCTGCCCTGCACTGCCTTTACTACAGGAGTTTCCCCCAGCTTCTGCTCCAGGCCTCGCCAGCTTCGACCTGCCAGGAAAGTCGCTAGAAAACAATGAAAGGAGCGTATTCAAAAGACTGTATATGATCCACCATGTCAAAGCATTGGACATGCTATAAAAAAAAAGAAGAAGCAATAAATAAGTATACTGGATGTCTCTGACTGTTCTGTACCTGCCGAGTTCGCGTCGGCGACGGTCATAGTCTGGTTCCTCAGCACCACAGAAGACCCGAAGGAGGAGACCACAGGCTCGGCGCTCAGCAGGTTCCGACTCCGCAGCGCTCCGGTGATCAACGACACGTCGGTTTCGTCGTCGCCTTCCTGCTGATCGGCCATCGGCACATGACTCTGTCCACCTGACCCAAGGATTAAAAAAAAAAAAAAAAAAAACGTTGATAAAGGTTTTTATCAACGATGGTTTTTATCAACGATGAAATGATGTTTGCGATCTTTATTTTCCCCCTAAATAAAGAGCAGCTTCCTGGTAGGAAGTTAATTTGCAGCAGAGACGAATCAGGATGCCGATGAAGAGGAGGAAACGCTAATGTCCCTTCAGTAATGGAAAACCTCTCTGCTGTTTTTGTTAAAGTCGTCGACTTTACTGCAAAATGTGGTCAGGATTCCAGCACATGTTCTTTTTCTTTTCTAAATTAAATACTTTCCCAGAGTGTACAGCCAGTATCTGGAGCATTTTGAAAAAATATTACAAAATTTAACTCTAATGCATTAATTTTGATTAATTAATTACACAGATTTTGATGCGTTACAAAATTTGAACAAAATCATATTTCTTTTTTTATTTATTATTATTATTATTATTATTTTTATTTGTTTTTTTTAACATAAAAAGGTTCTGGTTGGAACCTTTGTATTTGTGTGTTTCTGGTACACCCATAAATAAGATGCACAAGCGACATCCACAAACGGTGATGGACAACAAATCTGCCTCTTTAGGCCCGCTGGGATAAATTTTTACTTTAAAAAAAATCATCTGTAGGGCGACTGGAAAAGACTATTGTTGTGAGCAAGTTGTGCTAAAAGGAGTTAGCCAATCAGCGAAGCTATTCTAGCCTAAAACATCATTTCAATGTTGCAACAGCACAGACGTCACCAACGCTAATGTCAGCGTCCACAGAAGTATTTTTCCAAAGAAGTTTTATGAATGATCAGGGCTTCACAACACGCCTGAAAGCTGACTGGGTATAAAAATCACTTTACACTATTCAACCTCAATCTGGAGGTTGAATAACCTAAACAACAAATTAAAAACAATAAATACATGCTGCCCATATGTCTATAACTTAGTAGTCAAAAGGGTTTTTGATGTGAAAGTGTTGCTGATGTAGATTTAATTAAAATGCAATTAAGTCAGTTCATACAAAAGTTGATTATGAATTTATAGCATATATTTCAGACTTTAGATGATGAAAATAGGTATACAGCAATACCAAGAGTGTGAATTGCATTGTGACATTTTGCCATTTCTTTTTTTGAGAATGTTTGACATTAACTGACTTGACTGATGTATGGATGATTGGACAGATTGAGGTAGTCAGCCACGCCCATGTTTCATCCACATTGGAATGCTTTTCCCTGTTATGGCCCAATCAGTGCATTTCTCCATCATGAACTGATGGAGAATTATATTAGTTCTCCATTAGTGCATGTTTGGCTTTGTCCATCCATGTTACAAGCCATGGATGGACAAAGTTATGGATGGATGGAAGCATACTGACCTCAAAGTGCCTTGGATTTTGACGGATGAATGAAAGATCGAATGGATTAATAACTAAGGGCATTTTTTATGCTTGCTGACATAATGCATAGAAAGATTAACTATGAAAAGAGAAGGATGGATGAACTTCAAGAAATTCATATTGTATCACATTGCCAAGGGGATTGTAAATAAAAAATATTTTCCATACTAAGATCTGGAGATTGTACACTCTTCCGGACTTTTCAGAACTACATCTTAACCCTTGTGTATAAGATAATCTCATTAATGCTACCAAACAATCCATAGTCTGGTTCAGGGCTTAAGGCTCCTTTTAGCTTCCAAACAATTACTCCATAAACTGTGATCAAACCTGGAAGAAGATGTCGAAAATCTGTGACGTATTCCTCGGACCACTCCCTCTTCCTGTTGCACGCCACCTCCATCTCGAACGGCGTCACCACGGGCTTGTAGAACATGCTGGAGTCCAGCAGCGAGTTCTCAGGACACGCGATTAGCACGAAGATGTCGATCTCCAGAAAGTTCGCTAGTTTGGGAACGTTGAGCTTCCCCATGGCGAACATGTAGCTCTTCTTGCCGGCTCTGTGAAGAGTCTCTTTGAGTTGCTGGATGATGGCGAGGTAGTCGGCCACGCCCAGGGTGCCGACGAGGATGCCAACCACGTTAGCATCTTTGGCCCTTTCAATGGCATAGTAGCGTTTCATGAGAGCACGGTTGACGTTCACAGACTCAACCCTTCCCGTCATTGATGCAGGATCGAAAGAACAAAACAAGCAGCGATTCCAGGTCATCATGAAGTTTCGTAACGTGGCTCCCTCCGGGCCTACGTAGAACATACGGTAATCCGTTAGAGATGAGCCACTTTTTAAGGAGAACCGTCGTCCGAACTGACAAATGGTCTGGCTGTTGTCATCCTCAGATGGACGGGTTTCTTTATTGATCCGTCCATGACTGTAACAGTTTTCCCCTTCAACAACAAGCTCAGTGGCTACAAGGTTTGGATACTCTGGTGAAAGGAGCGTCAGAAGATCACCTGGGAAAAAAAAAAAGATTAAAAGATTAACAAAGGCAATGAAATTTGACAAAGAAATTAATGTTTTCCTAGGAAAACTTGCCAATAGCGTGATCGTAGTTGACATCATAAAGGAGGAGGATGTGTGTCTGTGTGTCCGCGTAAAGCTCCCTGAAAGAGGCGGCGCACTTCTCCATATCCAGGGTCCGTTTCTCAAAGACGTACATGACGGGAAGTCGTTTGGACGGGCTGAGGCAGGCGTTGCCGTAGTGGACGATGCAGTCGGCGCCGATGTGTTCTGCTGCTATCTCATCAACACAGCAGCTGCTCAATGAGAATGAGGGGAACCACACAGGTTAATTTCAGATCAGAAATTATTTCATCCAGGTTAAAAACGAAAACCAAACCAGAAGGTCTGCAATATAGATTCTAATTCAATACCCCACCCCACCCAGATCTCCATATATTTTTAATGCTAATGCATATCTGAATATATTACAAATTTTCCTCAAAAATTGTTGAAACATTTGCTTTAAGTGACTGCTAACTCCCACCTGCAGGCGGCAGTATTTCTTACTTTGACTACACTGCTGCCTCAACCTTACTTGATATGAAGTTATAGTTCATGATCTATGTGGCTCCTATAAAAATGAAATTATTTAAGTTCTATACAGAATTAAATGTATGTCCAATCTGACTTTTTGCTGTTGTTTTCCATCATCGTGTCCTTCTAGATGTAGACTTTTGTAGCGCTTTAATGAGGAAATATTATCATAAAAATTTATTGGATATATTTCTAAAATAGCGCCACAAAATCCGTGATTTTGTTTGCAAAAAATCCCAAAGAACAGTTGTAAAATACTGGAGAAGTTGAACAAACTACTAGTACCTGCCATAGGAGGTGTCTCCCAAAATAAACGTTTTGGCTTGACTGTTTCTCTCAATCTCTGCAGCCACAGCGGCCGAGTCGACCAGCAGCTCATCTGGAAACTGCAGAGCAACCTGGAAAAAACAAACAGATACACCACACAGGAATCACAAATATCTACCTTTCATCCACTGTTAAAAACAATTTATCGTTTTTTTTAATGCTACCTTTCCAAAGTGATGCTCGCTGATGAACGCGCATGTCTTCGTAATCTGATACAACTCGACGAGTTTTTCAGCAGGGGTGTTTTCCTTCAGGCTAACGTCAACCACACGCTGAATCACAGTCTCCGAGCTGCTACTGAACGGATCAGCCATGACAGTAAGCTACAAATGTTTTCGAAAACAAATGTTTTAAGGTTGACACCACTAGACGTCAATAATACAAAAATAAAACTAGTCAGGACGATCTAACACTGTCCCTGCTAGCTAAAAAAAAAGTATCATATTTCACTGTAACAATTATACAAATTAAACTGTTACAAGCCGGCATTTAATATGTAACTTACAGCGAAGTATCATGTAGGTAGTTTTGCTACAATCTTTACATGCTTGTCGGAAACGTAAACACGTGTCTAGAGTACACCAGGAGGGAGAGGTAGGAACACTTCCGGTTCACATACTTTTCAAAATAAAATCCAAACTGTTCTCGCGCTTTAAACCAGGAGTGGGAAGTTGTAGAAAGTCACCTGAGGACCAATTAGCATTGCAACAATTAGGTTAATAAAGCCTTAAAGTCCGGCTTTGCGTGTTTATTTGTGCAAACCTGTGAGAATTTCCAGTCTACATGTTTAATTATCTAAATATAGTTTTCCAAGCGCTGCCGTACGTGACAAAAAAATATTTATACTACAGCATTTCGACATCTCATGCGCGACACCACGGAGAGATGATTTCAAGTAATGTCGGTCAATTACAACTTTATTTTAATTAAATAAATATGATCTGAAAATTAATTCAACAGACTTTAGTAATATAACATGTACAGCGTGCTATGCATAAAAACATTTACAGGGTACAAAAATATGTTTACATTTTAAAAATGCTTCGATTAAAAGAGATACCAGTACTGAATTGGCTTTGTTGAAAATATGTAAAAGATAAAATAAAAATAAAATTGCTACCAGCAGAATAACTAATATGCACCTACAATACATTTATTTTCATCAAAAGGTTTTACTGATTACCAGATAAGATTTACTAAAACAAAATAATTATGTTACTAAGAGTTCATCAATATTCAATTACAGGTACATGGACATTTTTTTTATTTTTACCAGAACAACTTTCAGTGCATCACAACATCATTTGAGTTCTTTTTGACATCTTGAGTTTGCAGAGGAAACAAGCCGTCATTATGAATAAATACTGGTAGGAAATAAGTGTTGTTAAATGCATCCATCACCTTAGAGAAACTTAAAACCATTGTAGTAACGCACATCTGGTTTTAACAGGTAGAGAAAATGTAAAGTATTAATGAAAGAAAAAGCGGAAAAATAAGAACTGTTTTTTTTTGTTTAGACACCAGAAGAGTTTGGATTGTCCATAAATTAAAAAAAAATAAAATAATGGGAATGAAACAACATAATTGAGATTCGTCATGAAATAGCTGCTCTTCAGCTGGCAGGTTCCTTGGCTTCACTGTCGACTGCATCGTTGCAGTCGACAGTTTTCGTCATTAACCTTCTCTCACATCCAAATGCGATAAAAACCCAAAACCACAGTGAGACAGGTGAACACCGAACCTGGAGGATACAGAAAAACGGGAAGAAGTCATTATTAGATAACAGTGTCTGATTACATTTACAAAAGTTTTTCTGGTTGTATCACTGAAGAGGTCATCCCACAAACACACATAGAAGACTGATGGACTGAAATAGATTTGAAAAAATTATCCATTTAATTGGAAAATGTACTTAACTGAAAAAAAATATTTAGTAGATTATTTCCTAAAGGCCCCAAATAGGTTCCTCACATTTAAGCACTTATGAATACTATAGTGTATTAGGACCATTGTTGATAAGAAGAAAAAAAAAAGATGGCCTTTTTTGGCCAAAAAAACTCAGAAATTGTCTAGGGGGAAAAAAAGCAGGGAAATTTATGAGTTTCAAAAATGAAAAACATGTTGCCTTTTGAAACTCAAAAAAAATCTCCTTGTTTTTTTCTAGAAAATTTCTGAGATTAATCTCACAATTTCTGAGTTTCCTCTCATGCATTTTCAACTTTCCCAACTCACAAAATTCCTTGTTTTCTCTTGAAAATTTAAAATAAGCACAACATTTCTGAGTTTTTTTGTTTATGTTTTTAGTGTTGAAAGATTCCAAAACACTTGAACATTTTTCCTATCTGCAATAAATTACACTTTCTTACCAGCAAGATATTTGATGGTATCCAGTTTATGAGACTCCAGCATGGTTTTCAGACCAGCTACTTCAGTGTCTATTTTCATGTTTGTTTGGGTTAGATGGCGATCCTGCTCTACTGTCTGCAAAAAATTACAATTGGAGCAAATACAATAAATAATATTTTTTTTAAAACTGCATGTTTATAGCATTTATACAAACCATTTCCAGAATTTCAGTTCTTGTTTCCAGAAGCTTCTTATCATGTGCTTTCTGGAAAGAAGAACATTTTAGGTTAAATGTTTTAATGTTGCCACACCTGGCTTAAATAAATGGGTAATTAACAGACTTATCTCACATACAGAATGTAATGCTGACATTTTAATCTGATGTACTGGAGCAGAGAGTAGGCTCTGAGGAACAGGATTAAGTTATATTATCCCAATTTTTAAGCCTAAAACTCAGAAATTCAGAGTTTGAGAGCAGAATCCCTGGTCTCTATTAGAAAAAAATAAATAAAAAATAGCAGTAAAACTAATGTTCAGCCACCATAATTAAATGTCAAGCCTTAACCACAAACATGTCTGATGTTGAAATCCAGGCCAGGTTTTCAAATCCGTTTTTAATTGCCAACAAATGTCGTGTTTACAGGACAAAAACACCCAAACCATGCGTTTGGATGAAACTAATTCTTTTGTTAACAGAGTTAAGCCGGATAAAAGCAATTATCCTTAAAATAAGGACACAGTACTGGGAAAGGTTAACATGTACTTTACTGATTAGTGAAATAAAATGTTTCATTAAAAGAATTTTACAAACCCCTAAAAACTGAGAGCCAAAGGAATATATACCTCAATAAATAAACCCAGTGAAATAGTGATGAGGAAAACAGTGCTGTAACTTTTCAAAAATGTTTTCTTATGCAATAAACATTTTAAGTTCCTTCAAACAGGTAGATTTGGGGCGGGGGGAATCCAAATCACCTACAAATCTGTCTAAATGTGCAAAGCTCTGACTGAAATGAGCATTTTAAGAGAGCCAAGAGTGTCTAGTGCAACTGCATTGAAGTCAATAGAGTGTCATAAAGATCCTCAGGCCATTATTAATCAGTTTACCATATCTAATATAGATCTATATCCTGTAGAGAAATTGGTCTGAACCCGGCTGTAAAGCTCACCAGCTCTTTTGCGCGGCTTTTCTCCAAATTCAGGTCCAAAATATTATCCGAGCGTACTTTGTTCATCACATCCTGCCAGACGAGGGAGGAGAGGAAAGAACAGGGAACCCGACAAGGGAAAATAATGCTGAGTTTTAATTAAGAAGAACTTAATTAAAACCCATTTGCTTTGCACGGTTTGTATGATGGCATTAATAAAACAACAGATTTAAAAAGAAAATACACATAAGCACTTACAGCCAGTTGGACTTTGAGCTGTAATAACTGGATCTTGAGTTTCTGAGAAATAGCACAAAAAAAAGAAAAATACAGAAGCCGTCAGACCACAAACGCAACACAAAACACTCTACAGTCATTTAGATTAATCTCTACAAAAAAAGCAAGATAATCTTTGGTTCATGAAATAAACCAGGTGGTTTGAGAACAAAGTAAGGTAAAAAACAAACAAAAAAAAAAACGCTTGATAATCGCTTTTTACCTCATTTTCTGTGAGAAGAGTGGAGAACTCGCTCTTCTCAAGGATAATCATGTCCTTTTTTACAGCTGCTATTTTAGACATTACTTGCTGCAACATGATTTCCTGCAAAAAAAACAAAAAAAACGAAAATACACAACACAATTAAAAAGTGACTTAAGATTTGACTGTCGTTGGTTCACATGGCAGTGCAATAAAATTTAGTTGGCATCATACTCTGTTTAATGTGTGTAACATAAACAGTCATGATTCAATTGTAAAAATAAACAAAGTTGGGAGTGGGGGCTGGGGGGCGATGAAGCCTTTATTGCAGGGGTGTTCAAAGTGCGGGCCGTGGGCCATGTGTGGCTCTTTAAACGACTTTGGGTGGCTCTTGATCAGAATTCAAGAATAGCCTAAATTTGGATTTGCCAGTTCAGGCAGTGGATGCAGATTTAAAAATGATGTTAGGATGCAGCCTTTCAAAAAAAGACAGACAATTTAAGATACTAAAATAGAAAATGTAAGGTGCAACACAAGGTTTTTTTTTTTTGCTTTTAATTTGATTCATTTTTTTGTAAAAACAACCATTTTTACTAAAATGCAGACTTGGGAATCCCTGTTTAATAAACAATTCAAAATGAAGCAAGAGTGAGCCATATACTGTTCTGGTTGTCAAAATGAGAAACAAAACATGTGGAAAAATATGATCAAACTGAAAAAATTAGGATACGGTTTGTTGTAGTTATTTATTTTTATCTGGCAAACCTGCAAAGCATTTGTGTTTGTGTGTGTGTTATCAATCACTTGCCTGGAGAAATGTGACTGCCATCATGTTTGGTTTCAGGTAAAAATGAAAACATAAGATAGTTTTTGCAATTATCATTAAAAACAAAAATACTAAAAAGTTTGTGACCCCCCCAGTTATTTCAGCTCGACCTTTCAGGCCAAAAAGTTTGGACACCTGTTGATTTTGTGCTTACTAAATGAAAACCACAAATATGGTGTGCATAATCATTCATAGAGTCTCACCTGTTGCACTTTGGTCACCATGTCAGTATAAACCAAATCCATGTTAGAGTTTGTTGTCCCGATCAGCACTTTAACCAACACTTCAGCTTGCTGAGTGCTGAATCCTGATATTAAAAAATAGAAATTACCACAATTACTGGTTTACATTAAAAAAAATAATAAATCAACACTTCAAAAAGATGCAAGTTGCATGTTTTGCAATAACCGAACAAACCGTTTTCCTCGAGGAGTCGCACAACTGCGTGAGTGTCAAAAAACAGCTTGCGGCCTTCGGTTTTTGGTATGTCTGGTTTCAGATCGTATTGGAAGACCCTGGAGGAGGTATTCAGTTCTGAAGGGAAAGAAACAACAAATTTATCAAAACTTTAAAGATATTTAAATTTGATTTAGTTTTGTAAATTGACACACTGTTGCACAAACACTCCTGGAATGGGAGCAATAAATTTGTGTTACGGAAACAGAATGTGTTATATGGGCATGGGACTTTGAAGTAGCCTGCGCTGTGCTGACTAATAGATACTGAGGCATTCACAAAATGGCTAACCTCGCAAAACATGTCTTTTAAACTCTTTATATCATAAAGCCGTCAATGTGGTCTCAACTAACCTGAAGAGCTTTTATTTTTGAAAAATACGCGTTCAACACTTACATTTTAAACAAAGTGAAACTTCCGTATTAGTAGTTTAAAAGTCTCCAGAGTAGGTTTAATACTGCATGTTATCACATTTTAGACTTGAATAAACTCAATGACCGAAGAAGCTAGCAGCTATGGGGTTCCATTTGTGCCAAAAATAAGCAGAATATGGGGTTCCATTTGT